GAGGGACTTTTCATTTGGTTTGCACTGGCATGAGATGTAGCAGTTATGGGGAAACCTGATTGCAGTGAAGTTGAAGCCTCGATTAAGACTAGGTTTATGCTTAGGTTTACAATGGGGTTGGGTAGGGTAAGTTTAGGTACAGTAGGCTAAGACAGTAGCTTTGAAATAAGTTTAGACAATAGGTTTAGACTGTCTAGATTTAGACAAGAGATTTAGACAGGTTAGGTTTAGACAGGTTTACTATAGGTTTAGTCAAGCTAGATTTAGACAACAGGGTGGGGCAGGTTAGGTTTAGACAATAGGTTTGGGCAGGTTAGGTTTAGACAATAGGTTTGGGCAGGTTAGGTATAGACAATAGGTTTGGGCAGGTTAGGTTTAGACAAAAGGCTTGGGCAGGTTAGGTATAGACAATAGGTTTGGGCAGGTTAGGTTTAGACAATAGGTTTGGGCAGGTTAGGTTTAGACAATAGGTTTGGGCAGGTTAGGTATAGACAATAGGTTTGGGCAGGTTAGGTATAGACAATAGGTTTGGGCAGGTTAGGTTTAGACAATAGGTTTGGGCAGGTTAGGTATAGACAATAGGTTTGGGCAGGTTAGGTATAGACAATAGGTTTGGGCAGGTTAGGTTTAGACAATAGGTTTAGGCAGGTTAGGTATAGACAATAGGTTTAGGCAGGTTAGGTATAGACAATAGGTTTGGGCAGGTTAGGTATAGACAATAGGTTTAGGAAGGTTAGGGCAGGTTAGGTTTAGACAATAGGTTTGAGCAGGTTAGGTGTAGACAATAGGTTTGGGCAGGTTAGGTTTAGAGAATAGGTTTGGGCAGGTTAGGTTTAGAGAATAGGTTTGAGCAGGTTAGGTTTAGACAATAGGTTTGGGCAAGTTAGGTTTAGACAATAGATTTGGGCAGGTTAGGTTTAGACAATAGGTTTGGGCAGGTTAGGTTTAGACAATAGGTTTGGGCAGGTTAGGTTTAGAGAATAGGTTTGGGCAGGTTAGGTTTAGAGAATAGGTTTGGGCAGGTTAGGTTTAGACAATAGGTTTGGGCAGGTTAGGTATAGACAATAGGTTTAGGAAGGTTAGGGCAGGTTAGGTATAGACAATAGGTTTGAGCAGGTTAGGTATATACAATAGGTTTAGGCAGGTTAGGTATAGACAATAGGTTTGGGCAGGTTAGGTATAGACAATAGGTTTGGGCAGGTTAGGTTTAGACAATAGGTTTAGGCAGGTTAGGTGTAGACAATAGGTTTAGGAAGGTTAGGTTTAGACAATAGGTTTAGGAAGGTTAGGGCAGGTTAGGTATAGACAATAGGTTTGAGCAGGTTAGGTTTAGACAATAGGTTTGAGCAGGTTAGGTTTAGACAAAAGGCTTGGGCAGGTTAGGTATAGACAATAGGTTTAGGAAGGTTAGGTATAGACAATAGGTTTAGGAAGGTTAGGTTTAGACAATAGGTTTGAGCAGGTTAGGTATAGACAATAGGTTTGAGCAGGTTAGGTTTAGACAATAGGTTTGAGCAGGTTAGGTATAGACAATAGGTTTGAGCAGGTTAGGTATAGACAATAGGTTTGGGCAGGTTAGGTATAGACAATAGGTTTGAGCAGGTTAGGTATAGACAATAGGTTTGAGCAGGTTAGGTATAGACAATAGGTTTGAGCAGGTTAGGTATAGACAATAGGTTTGGGCAGGTTAGGTTTAGACAATAGGTTTGGGCAGGTTAGGTATAGACAATAGGTTTGGGCAGGTTAGGTATAGACAATAGGTTTGGGCAGGTTAGGTATAGACAATAGGTTTGGGCAGGTTAGGTATAGACAATAGGTTTGGGCAGGTTAGGTTTAGACAATAGGTTTGGGCAGGTTAGGTATAGACAATAGGTTTAGGCATGCTTGGTTTAGACAGTAGCTTTACAATAGGTATATAATAGGTTTAGGGTTGATGTTTTAGGCAAATTACATTCACTAATTAATTACTGGCATTATGAGAGCTAATAGACTACAGTCGTTGGATAATAGAGAGAGAGAGAGAACAACAAATAACAAAGAGACCACATGGGATACAAAAGAATTGATCAGAAACAGATCATGAGGAAGACCAAGAAGATGGTGGAGAGGCAGACCTACAAACACTTGGAGTTACCAAACAGAAGGAGATGACTAATTAAGATCAAATGGATGAACAAACAAACTTTATTTTCGAAGGGTTGAGAATTGTAGAATTGGCACAGAGGCCTTCTATTTTGCCCTTCTAGACTTCCTCCTTTCCTGCATTATTTTATTTCATACATCATTTCATTCATACAACAAGTAATAGTAAACATCAACAGCATCCTAATATTCAATACAAGCACCAGGATATGCTCAGAATGCAGAAAAAGAAGAAGAAAATTAATTGACAGCAAATGAATTCAGTATTCCACAGCTTTAGAAACTCAGTTTGACAGTATTTCATAATTTTGCAAATGGGAGACCAGTACATCGGGCTTGAAGCATCAGTCAAGCATGACCTCTCTGTTATCTGACTACACACACAGACAGCATATTTATATGTATACATATCATTTTTAGAAGATTAGCAAATACCTTTGTAAGAAAGTTAGCAGACCGTGAACTGATAGTTTTGAAATGTATATTTATAGTGCACCCAGTAAATCAAGAAGCCAAGCCTTATTTTTGCAAAAGAGTTTACAGTTAACGAGGCCAAGAATGTTAACTCTCTCAGTACGAAGCCACTAACATTGTGTGTTAATTTGTGAGTCCAAACAGAGCTTTTACATGAACCCAGTCTATCCTAGTGGTTAGGTTTGCTGTTTAAATCCCAAACTTTTATTTTACCCAATTATCGTTCCCTGTGTGGGGAAAACAAGAATAGGCACACTGCTCCCTAACAAGCATGTCATAAGAAGTCACAACTGGGGGGTTCTATCAAAGCCACAGCACATCTGCTTTGGAAGCAAGGAACCAACAGTCTGCATACAAATAGATCTGTAAAATGTATGCATACGCAACACTCAGGTTCTGGAACATGATTGCAGTCCAGAAGTGGATGAACAACCAGAACTTTCTGCTGGAGTTAACAACGGGTGAATGGGAAGAAGAAAAAGGCAATCATCATCACTGCACTTTGTGCATTCCTATGCATGCTCAGTCCTCCAATGCAGCAGCCACTTCAAGATACCTCGCTGAGTGCTTCCATGATTTGATTTTAACTTCTTCTTCTTCTTCTTAATATTTACTGGATGCAAACTCCTGCATAAATTTCTGGTTGTTCATCCACTTCTAGTCTTTAGTCTTGTTCCAGAACTGGAGTCTTACATGCACATTTGTTTTACAGATCTGGCTTATTTGTATGCAGACTGTTGGTTCTTCACCTGTTAGATATATGCACTGTGACTGAGTGAAACACGTTTTAGAAAATGCTTTAAAAAAATACTGAATAACTGCAAGCTCATAGAGGTGGGATGGGGAACTGGCTGGAGAAAGAAGTGATAAATCATAATTTATTTTATACAGGGTGAGTGGAGGAAAATGTGATGTGGCTGGGTGGTTGTTGTCTCTAGCTTTGACTCAAAAGCTAGCTTGTTCACACAGGGCTGGGGGATAATTATTTAGTCTTTACCATTAGTTAATCACTGTTCTCCATTATTTATTCGTAGGTAGACTCACAACTGGACCACTAGATCAGTTTTTTTCCCCTTAAAGCCATTTATTGAAGAAATTCCGTAAATATTTACAGTATTTCTCCAAGTTATAAGCTACACTTATTTTACAAAAATATAGGGTCTAAAAACAGTGTATCTTATACAGTAATAGTATATCATCAATTTTTCCAAATTTTCTATTCCATAATCAATGTGTGTCTCGTACATGGGAGCATCTATATCTTGGGAAATACGGTATTATTTACACGTTTGGTAGACGTAGTAGCACATTGGTAGGATGCTTGCCTTAAGGTCTAGATTCCGGTTCTAGTTGTACGAAACAAAAAAGGTCGACCGTGTTCCACCTTTTGTCACCGGCTTTCACTAGGCGCAGCATTCAGTTATATTTGTGGTCTGGTTTATTTCTATCGAATTTTTTAAGGCTGTGTTTTGTGTAACTGTGCCAGGATTGATGGCTTGATGTACCTGTTGAGTCTAGTCTCTATCCCTACACGTCTGGTTCCCATTTTGGTTCTGTTTGCCTGCTCCTCTTGTTGCTTGTGCCTCCTTTGTTCTGGTTGCTTGTGCCTCCTTTGTTCTTGTTGCTTGTGCCTCCTTTGTTCTTGTTGCTTGTGCCTCCTTTGTTCTTGTTGCTTGTGCCTCCTTTGTTCTGGTTGCAATATGTTTTTTTTTTTCTGTCCAGGTAAGGGTCCTCTGTGTTGATTGTCCCTGGTCCTAAGAGGGTTTGAGTCTTGTTGTTGATCCATGCTGGTTACGGTGAGCACTGTGCAAGATCCAAGGCTGTCACCGCTACTACACCCCTGCACACCAGTCTTATTGTTTTAAGCTTTTGAATGTTAAAAACAGAGGTCTTGTTTTTAAATCATGACTATTTGAGTCAGGTCGACTCGGGTAAAATGGTTACCAGGAAATAAACTGGAAAGTTAAGGCAGCCAGTATGTTGTTGACAACATCACCAATCAATTGCTGATGGCCAATAAAAAATTTATATAAATATTCACTGTGTTAGTGATTAATCATTAGTTAGATATTGGTTGAGCTTCAGACATCACTACAGATGGGAGAGGCACTCCTCTCCTGTTGAAGTGGAAATCACACAGAATGTCATTTGCTGTCCAATTTTAATACTAGTGAAAAACTTGTCTCGAAGTTTATACAAAATAAAAATGCATATTGTCTCAGTCATGAAAGCCAGCATTGCGTCCGTAAAAGTATACGCCAATCTAAACATAATCAGCCATCTACGATTTTAGGGTATGTATCAAATAAAAACCATTATTGGGCTACACCCGTCTCATGAAAGGCGTCCTTTACTTTAAAGATACTTGACATTGTTATTTTCAGAATGGACCTCTCCCCTTTTCAAAGTTTGAATTTCTGGTGGCATGGCTGTTTCGAGAAGTGCTATCTCCTTACATCATTCTGCGCTGTCATCTCCAAGATCATGTCATCTGGCGGAACAACAAGTATCAACTTCACTGGGGTGGACAAGTGGAGTTGAAGAACTCAAAGTTAGAAGTGGTGGATGTGTCGGCATGAAGGTGTGCCTCCTGGTGTCTGTTCATCTGTTTCAGCCTTGGCGGTCTGTTGGTATTTTTTTGAGAATAGCTTGCTGTTGAGTTTTAGTTCAAACTCAGTGTAAAAAAAATGCACAACATGAAGCCAGTGATTGTAGTGAGGACTGATCCTCGGCCTCTGCAGGACTTGGGTTTTTTACTGGAGTTTCTTCATCTTTCATACAGAATAATTACTAAATCCCCCAGCAGGACAGATGCAACAACCCAGGAACCCATAATTCATTTTTTAAATTTGTATGTTTGTGTATATAAGAAGCTTGTGTCAAGGCCATGGTGAAAGCATTTGACATATTAGTATCACTGTGGCATGACTGTAGATTGTGCTGGGAACTAATTGTTTGTTTGTTCACCAGTTGTTCAGATATGCCAGTGAGGGACACTTCATTTGATTTTCTCTGGCACAGTTGAAACTTCAACCACGCCTACTGTGGCATGATTGTAGATTGTGCTGGGAACTAATTGTTTGTTCACCAGTTGTTCAGATATGCCAGTGAGGGACATTTCATTTGATTTTCTCTGGCACCAAAATGGAGCAAGTATGGTGTCACCCGATGGCAGCGAAGTTGAAACCTCATCCACGACTACTGTGGCATGATCATTTCACTAAGGGCACAAGAGGTTTGATTGATCAACACAGACCAGGCGTTTTCAGCCATTCAACACTTGTGGAGCTGCTGAGCATTAGATCAGCACACCTGTGGATATGTTCTGAGTACAAGTGATAAACACCCAATGACGCAATGTGCCACCATGTAGGTGAGGATCACTGTGGAGAGGTCCCAGAAACCGCGTTCAGCCCCTAGGCCATATTTATGGCCAGGCTAAATTGCGGCCCCTGGCAAAGCCAGAGTAGGGCTTCAAATAATGAAAAATGTCATCCTAAAAAGGTCTGGTAGTAATGTAATATATCCTCCACTCTTTCAGTAGCAGAGGACAGTTACAGGAAATAGAAATCAGCTTGTGATGGGTTTCCTTGTATCCAATGAGTTAAAGATAATGCATATTAATGTAAAAGAGAGTGGGACTTAATAACAGATAAAAATCACAGGTAGAATAGGTAATGTGACATGTAATAAATAGCACTGAAGTGGAAAGAAACTGAAGTGTTTAAAAACAAGGTAATTGATAGTATGTTTGTGAGAGGCAGTATGTGATTTGGTGCTCTTTGGCTGTGAGGCGGTGTAGGATTTATTGCCCTTTGGCTGTGAGGTAGTGTGGAAATATGGTGTTCTTTGGCTGCGAGGCAGTGTGGGATATCATGCTCTTTGACTGTGAGGCAGTGTGGGATTTATTGCCCTTTGGCTGTGAGGTAGTGTGGAAATATGGTGTTCTTTGGCTGTGAGGCAGTGTGGGATATCATGCCCTTTGGCTGTGAGGCAGTGTGGGATATGGTGCTCTTTGACTGTAAAACAGTGTGGGATTTATTGCCTTGTGGCTGTGAGGTAGTGTGGAAATATGGTGTTCTTTGGTTGCGAGGCAGTGTGGGATATCATGCCCTTTGGCTGTGAGGCAGTGTGGGATATCATGCCCTTTGGCTGTGAGGTAGTGTGGGAATATGGTGTTCTTTGGCTGTGAGGCAGTGTGGGATATCATGCCCTTTGGCTGTGAGGTAGTGTGGGAATATGGTGTTCTTTGGCTGTGAGGCCGTGTGGGATTTATTGCCCTTTGGCTGTGAGGTAGTGAGGGAATATGGTGTTCTTTGGCTGCAAGGTGGTGTGGGATATCATGCCCTCTGGCTGTGAGGCAGTGTGGGAATATGGTGTTCTTTGGCTGTGAGGCAGTGTGGAATATCATGGCCTTTGGCTGTGAGGCAGTGTGGGATATCATGCCCTTTGGCTGTGAGGCAGTGTGGGATATCATGCCCTTTGGCTGTGAGGCAGTGTGGGATATCATGCCCTTTGGCTGTGAGGCAGTGTGGGAATATGGTGTTCTTTGACTGTGAGGCAGTGTGTTATATGCCCTTTGGCTGTGAGGTAGTGTGGGAATATGGTGTTCTTTGGCTGTGAGGCCGTGTGGGATTTATTGCCCTTTGGCTGTGAGGTAGTGAGGGAATATGGTGTTCTTTGGCTGCAAGGTGGTGTGGGATATCATGCCCTCTGGCTGTGAGGCAGTGTGGGAATATGGTGTTCTTTGGCTGTGAGGCAGTGTGGAATATCATGGCCTTTGGCTGTGAGGCAGTGTGGGATATCATGCCCTTTGGCTGTGAGGCAGTGTGGGATATCATGCCCTTTGGCTGTGAGGCAGTGTGAAATATCATGCCCTTTGGCTGTGAGGCAGTGTGGGAATATGGTGTTCTTTGACTGTGAGGCAGTGTGTTATATGCCCTTTGGCTGTGAGGTAGTGTGGGAATATGGTGTTCTTTGGCTGTGAGGCCGTGTGGGATTTATTGCCCTTTGGCTGTGAGGTAGTGAGGGAATATGGTGTTCTTTGGCTGCAAGGTGGTGTGGGATATCATGCCCTCTGGCTGTGAGGCAGTGTGGGAATATGGTGTTCTTTGGCTGTGAGGCAGTGTGGAATATCATGGCCTTTGGCTGTGAGGCAGTGGGATTTATTGCCCTGTGGCTGTGAGGTAGTGTGAGAATATGGTGTTCTTTGGCTGCGAGGCAGTGTGGGATATCATGCCCTTTGGCTGTGAGGCAGTGTGGGAATATGGTGTTCTTTGGCTGTGAGGCAGTGTGGGATATGGTGTCTTGTTTATGAGCTGAAATGCTTTCCAAACATTTAAGGCAGTGTGGAATATAGTGCCCTTTGCTTGAGATATGGGTGCCCGTTTACTTTGTAGGGCGGTGTGAGAAATAATTTCTTTGGAGGTGTAATGCTGTTTGAGGTTTAGTGCCCATTAATTATTTGATGCAGAAGAAGTTGATGACCAGCTATCTGAGATAATTTACATCCAGAGCGAAAGACAGAACTTGTTAAGGGGCTGCAGATTGTTTTTTGTTTCTTCCTATCTCTGTGAATTTGTTTATTTTAGGGAAAGCGCTAAAGCACAAAAACATGAAATTGTAACAGTGAGTTGAGTGGAAATATTATGTCAGTTGCAACTGTTACAGTAATCATATGTGTAAGTGTATTTTTAAAATTTATTTTTAAAGATTTTTTGTTATAATGTTGGAAAGCATTCCTAAAACATTGCATGCATTTAAATCATTTATGTTATAGTACTTCAAAAACATTCTTAAAACATTGTATTTATTTAACATGTTTCTTTATAATAATCAAAAAATCTAACAGCATATTATGTTCTGAAAATTGTTAATGCTGAGCATTTGTTTTATTATATATATATATATATATATATATATATATATATATATATATATATATATATATATATATATATATATATATATATATATATATATATATATATATATATATATATAGATATATATATATATATATAGATATATATATATTTGGGGATTTTGTATTGGTTCATCTGCTGGTTTTTTTGTATAATGGTGGAGCTGTGTGCAATCATTACCATCATCATTATCATGTAACAGGCTCTTTGCAGACAATTGCCTTATAATGGCACATTGGAGGGAATTTTAGCAGTTGTGGCCTGAATGTTTTATGTACAGTGAGGATGATCTGTTGAATGGCTAACTGTGTTTGGTGGTCAGTAGGTTGACTTGTGCAACTGTGTTTGGTGGTCAGTAGGTTGACTTGTGTAACTGTGTTTGGTGGTCAGTAGGTTGACTTGTGTGACTGTGTTTGGTGGTCAAAAATTGACTTGTGTAACTTTGTTTGGTGGACAATAAGTTGAGTTGTGTAACTGTGTTTGGTGGTAAGTAGGTTGACTTGTGTAACTGTGTTTGGTGAACAATAAGTTGATTTGTGTAACTGTGTTTGGTGGTCAAAAGGTTGACTTATGTGACTGTGTGTGGTGGTCAATAGGTTGACTTGTGTAACTGTGTTTGGTGTTCAATAGGTTGACTTGTGTAACTGTGTTTGGTGGTCAGTAGGTTGACTTGTGTAACTGTGTTTGGTGGTCAATAGGTTGACTTGTGTAACTGTGTTTGGTGGTCAATAGGTTGACTTGTGTAACTGTGTTTGGTGGTCAATAGGTTGACTTGTGCAACTGTGTTTGGTGGTCAATAGGTTGACTTGTGTAACTGTGTTTGGTGGTCAGTAGGTTGACTTGTGCAACTGTGTTTGGTGGTCAATAGGTTGACTTGTGTAACTGTGTTTGGTGGTCAATAGGTTGACTTGTGTAACTGTGTTTGGTGGTCAATAGGTTGACTTGTGTAACTGTTTTTAGTGGTTAATAGGTTGACTTGTGTAACTGTGTTTGGTGGACAATACATTGGCAGATGTGACTGTGGGAAATGAGTCTGACTTTGAAGCAGGAAAGTGTGCTTGTCTCAGACCATGGGACAGTGCTGCCTGTTTTGTCATGACGACCTGTTTTTTTTTTTTTTTGCTGTTAGAATCCTTTTTGAAATTAAAAAAAAATTTCTCTGCCATTTTCATGTCTGAAACAAACGTGTAAGTGTATTGGTTTTTGCTAGCTAAACTCACAATGGAGAAAAAGGCTTTAAAGAAATCCTGGAATCTGGGCTTTTTTCTGCTGGTGTGCAGTACCAGAACCTTTTTTGAGGCATCATTTGTTTATTTGGGAATACAGTAATAGGCACTTTGTGGTGATGGTTACTGGCACCTTTACATCTAGGTAAGAAACCGTGATTGGGAATGATGCAGAAACAAATAAGGTGGTCTGCCTCCAGACTGATGAAACACATAAACTGACCACTACTGACGGTCAACCTTTGGATCATGCGGATATTATTAATGCCCTCTTCGAAATGGAAAGGGTTGAGGACTTTGGGGGCAATAAATCCACATTACTTGCCAGAATGATGGACTTGGGAGTTGAGATGGACATAGCAAAAAACGACACGCACACCAGGCAAATCACAGAGCTTGTTAGTCAACATAGAACAGAAGTTGACAGAA